GCCCGCCCGCTGGCCGCCCCCGCCCAGGGCCCTCCGCACCCACGTATCCCGGGGTCCCGCAGGCTGTGGACAGCACGCTGCTGGGGTCCTCCATCTTGGAGAGGCCGAAGTCGGAGATCATGATCTTGGAGTCTTCATCCAGGCTGTAGTACAGCAGATTCTCTGGCTTGGGGCGGGAGGGAAGGCGCGTGCCGTCAGCTGCGGCTGGCGGGAGCTTCTGCCTCCCCAGACGCCCTGAGAACCAGCGCCCCAGCGGCTACAGCGCCCGCACGCCCGCCATCTTGGCGGGAAGCTTGGACAGCTCCGGCTAAAACTTCCCAGAAGGACAACCGGGCCTCGGGGTAAAGCGCAGCACTAGGGAGCCAGCTGCAGCTGCCTCCGCGCGAGTTCGATCCCCACGAGTGCTGACCACAGGGCACGCAGACCTCTCCTGTCTCCCCGCTGCAGTGGACTTCATCACTCTGCCTGTTCTGCTCCCCGCTCTGCCTCTGAAGGGACCTCTCCCTCCCTGCACCTCTGAGCTGTACCCCAGTTCTATATGCATAAACCCCTGGAGTAGCCATTTGAGCCCCCACCGCCGTGCGGCCGACAAACATACCCGAAAGCCCATGAGCCAAGGCCCACGCACCCCAGAGCCCTCCTGGCTGCCGCAGGATAAACTACAGGAGCGGACCCCCGTCATCTGAGGGGAGGATTTCAGGGCTCCGGCTTGCTCCTTTATGTTTTGCTGTCTCACTCAAGTTTCCTTTTTTTCAAGATTTATTTATTATGCATATAGAACTGGGGTGCAGGCCAGAGGTGGGGGGGTGGGAGGACTCCCCAGAGACAGAGTAGCGAGCAGAACAGGTGGATCTCCTGAAAGACACTACTGAGGGGAGCCAGGAGAGGCCTGCCGCACCCCGAGGGTCCCTCCCTGGCCGGGGATCGAACTCGGGCTGCGGGGCTGCCGGTGGCCTCACAGCTCTAACCCCTGTGCCCCCAGGGGGGCCTCATTCAGGTTTTCTACAAAGAGCAAAGGGACTTCTGTGACCAGAGAACAACGCAGCGGCATGGGAATTAAAGTGACCGCACAGTTCCTCCCGGCGTCCCTTGCAGTGCCCACAGCACCGCGGGCAGGGACAGGCCAGGCCGCAGGTGGGCGACGGGGCTTGGCCAGGTGTGAGGCCCCGCGAGGCCGCCCGGTGAGGAGCCGCACGGCTCCCGGCCGCGGCTCGTCGCACACGCCCGTGCGCACCTTGAGGTCCCGGTGCACGATGCCCAGGTCGTGCAGGTACTTGACGGCATCCAGCACCTGGAAGATGAGGCGACTGGCATCCCGCTCCGTGTAGAAGCCTTTCTCCACGATGCGGTCGAACAGCTCCCCGCCCGACACCCTGCAGCGGGGACACAGCAGGCTGGCCAGGGCCCGGCGCGGCCGGGAGGCCCGGGAGACCCGTGTGCAGGAGGCAGAGGCACTCACAGCTGCATGATGAGGTACAGGTGGCCCCCACTCTCATAGATGTCATCCAGCGCTACAATGTTGGGGTGCTTGATCCTGAAAGGAGAAGCGCGGTGGCTTGGGAGGAGGCCAGCCGAGCCCTTCCTTCCCTCACCCTAAGGACTGGCCGCCTGGGCCCGGGCCGCACAGACGGCGCCATTGCGGGAGCCGGGGCACGGGGTGCTGCTCCCTGCTCCCCGGCGTCGCCCGCACACCGGGCCCTCACTGCCTCCCCGCCCGGCTTGGGGCCCAGGCCCTTCCGCCTGTTTGCCCTGGTCCGCCTGGGGTTTGAATCTGCCCGTCTCCCTAGCAGGCTGCAGCGCCCCGAGACCAGGCTCATGTCCCAACACTGTACAAGCAGGCGCTCAGCTGAGTGTGACCGCTGAGCCTGCTTCTTCAGCTCTGGTATGACGCCAACGATGCCGCTTCCCTCGAAGAGAAAACCCCATGAGATAAGGCCTGGCGCAGCGCCTGGCACACAGAATGCCCTCGATGCACGGACCAGCGATGGTGACCGCGCTCGCTGGGACACCAGCCTCCCCCGCTGTGTGCCCTCGGGCACGTCCCTTGACCTCTCTGCGCCTCGGCCCCCGGCCCCCCCCATTTGGTCTCATCCAGGGCAGGGAAAGCCCCGGGAGAGACGGGAAGGGAAGCGGAGGGCTCCGAGCTCTCCGGTGAGGGAAGCAGGCGGCTGCTGAGTGGGCTAGAGCAGGCAGGCTGAACGCGCCGCGCGGGGGAACGTGAGGAGGGGGAAGCACAGAGGAGATACCTGGGCTCAGGCCGAGCCCAGGGCCTGGCCTGTACGGCTGAGGGTGGCCGATTAAGCCACTGGCCATACCGGCGGGTCTCAGTCGCCTGTGCCATGGCACCCCTGTGCCAGGCGCTCAACACAGAGCCTGTCCTGCTCCCCACAACCTTGCCACAGGGAGGTCGCTGCTCTTTCTACAGCGAGCAAGGTCAGGCTCCCAGAGGCCAGTGCTCTGCCCAAAGCGGCGGGCGGCGCCCACACACCTGTGCAGCACTGCGATCTCCATCTGCATGCTGCTCTCCTTGCCCTCCAGGGCCTTCTTGGAGATGCATTTGATGGCCACCAGCTTCTGCGTCCTCTTGTCTTCTGCCAGGATGACCTCTGAGAAGGCCCCCCTGCAGAGAGAGGGGACTTGTGAGGTGGGGAACGGAACCCCAGCTGCTCGCTAGCCTCATTCCTCCCCCTCTGGGTGGCGGGCCCGGCCCTGCGCCCCCGCCGGGGCGCCCCGTCATTGCTCCAGCCCCCGCCTCCGGCTGCTCAGTAGCTGTGATCTGGTCCCAGTAACTGGGTCATGCTCTGCAAGCCAGTCACCGGCATTTTGAGCATGAGGTGCTCTTTCCTGCTAAGCTGGCGGGACCTGTGCCTGGGGCTAGTGGTGGCCCTCTGGGCCTACTTGAGACCGAAGCCCACAGCAAAGGAAATCGGAGACAATGTCCCGGTGGCGCGAAGGGTCGAGGCGCGTTACTACGAAGCCGTCCGCGGCCACTGCAGCACGAGTTCGATCCCCGGCCAGCGAGGGACCCACATGGCACTTTCTCTGGTGAATCCTCTCACCCCCTGCACCTCTGGCCTGTACCCCAGTTCCTGTATGCATAATAAATAAATCTTTTTTAAAAAGACAATTTCCTGATAATAGCATGTGAGTCCCTGGATCTGGCCACGCCTGAAGTTTATCCCCCGCTCTCCAGTTATGCGCGTGACCCCTTTTTCTGCTAAAGCCATTTGAGTCATGGCTAACTTAGCACCTTCGAGTCTTGAAGAACCATCAGCTCCTGTGACGTTTAGAAATGGTTTCAGGCCTCACCACAGACCTGCTAAATTCGAGGATTTTAAGAAGACCCTGCACAATCTGTATAGTCACCAAAGCTTGAGAAGCAGTGAAGTCTAGCAAATCTCACCGCCCCTGTTTGCTTTCTCAGGGATAAGAGACATAAGCCAAAGAACAGCGTTTGCCAAAGAGAAACCTCAGTCAAGCTACAGGGCTAGCCTCAGGGCCAGCGTCCAGTCTCGGCCTGCCCCAACTTAGCCTCCGCGCTGCGGCCAGCGTGACTTGATTTGCGAACCTGCCAAAAAGCCTTCAGTGTCGTCAGAGCCGTGGGGGGAAGGCCACTCCCGCCCGCGGCTGTCGAGGCCTGGCGTGGCCGCCCTCCCGTCTTCCACTCTCCCCCTGCCTCTGACGACGCCCGGCCCTTCCTTTCCCCACACACAGCGGGTGCGTTATTCCCCCTGCCCGGGACGGGACCCTCTCCCTCTGACAGGTGCAGACCAAGCCTCCCTCTACCCGGGAAGGCCCAGCGCCCGAAGCTCTCCCAGGCGGAAGCCTCCGGCTCCCTCGGCCCCGCGGGGGGCTCCGTCCCAGCCGGATCCGGAGCTCTGCACAGGCCTGGCTGCTCGCACGGGCCTGCCTCCCTCTGGCGTCTGGTGGGCAGACTAGGCCCGAGTTATTTCTGGATTCCCAGCGCCTGCTCAGCTCCAGACCAGCCGGCACGCCGGGCTCTTGGCCGGACTCTTGGCAGCGACTGGCTTCGTTCTCCCCACTTCCTGCCTTCACAGAAACCCGGCGCTGTGGCCAGAGCAGCCCCTGCTGCTCCCACTGTCACTCTGGAAAGCCAGCGCCAGGCCGGGCCATGGCACAGCGGCACGGCCTGGGCGCAGAAGTGGAGTTCGGACCGGCGGGGGAAGCAGTGCCCACAGCCGCCGCCAGGAGTGAGTACCTGCCGCCGGCAGCCAGCGCGCCCCTCCCTCCCAGACTCACGTTCCCAGAACATCACGGAAGTCGTAAATGTCCCGAATGTCCTCCGCCTGCTTCCAGCTGGGGCCTTCCACCGCCCCCGGCATGACCCACTGCGGCTTGGCCACGGCCAGGGCTCCTGGGAGGGGAGAGGAGGAAGGAGACTGGGGGGCAGGCCGCTTTGGGGCTCGCTGGGCCGTCAGCCTGCATTTTCCTCATTCCTGGATTCATTCACTTCACAAAATCATTCAGCAGACATCCATTCATTCACGAGTCATTTGTCCATTCAACAGTATCCGTTCAACAAATCCTGATGCCTCTAAGTCACCTTCATGGTGGCCACAACTCTTCATTCAACAGCGCCATTCATTCCTGCATTCATTCATTCATGCACATATTCAGCTCATCTCCCAGTCCTCCCCTCTCCCGCCTAGGGGAGCCCTGTCTTAGAGAGAGGACATCCCAGAAGACCCCAGAGGCTCGTGGAAGTGTGTGGCCCTCAAGGACCCCCTCCGTAGATGCCCCAGCCCCACCGTGGCAGTTTCTGGGGTGTCGCCTCGCCCTCCTCCCCCCCCCCAACCTCTCGGAAATCAGGTTTCCGGCAGCCTGGGCTTCCAGCAATATCTCAGCCACGTTTTTAAATAGCTCCTGCTTCACTGTTGCCACGGCAACAGCAGCCACAGCTGGAGCGCCCCAGGTCTCCTGTTACCCCCTCTCCCTCCTGACTCCCCATCTGGGTCCCAGCAGCCTGAGAAAAGGTCCCGGGTCTGTCCCCTCCTGGCTTCCTGGGACCCTGATTCAGCCTCTGCCTTGCTACGCTGAGACACGGTTGTTGTCTCCACGGGAGGTGTGAGTTCGCTCCCACTGTCAGCTGGAGAATGAGGAGACTGAGGTTGCTGATGCTTAGGGGACCCCATTAAGGGCCTGAGGCTGGCAAAGGGCAGAAGCGCTTGGGGGGGGCCACATGCGGCGTGTGGGCCATGCAGAGAACAGGCCTCGGCCCAGCCCAGGTCCCAGGGCAGCGCCTTGGGAGCAGCAGGTGAGCGCTGTGACCCCAGGGAGAGCCCTTTTGTTTCCTCTGCAGGGGAAGAAAGGAAGACCCCTGACTAGCCCCCTGGTGTGAGAGCCCAGCCCAGGGGCAAACCTTTCTAGGAAAGGAGACTTCTACCTGGGCCCACACATGTGCCCCTCACAGCTCCACGTATACCCCACCCACCCCGGAACACAGACACCTGCCCCACCAGCACCCCTAAACCCACACTCCCATACCCGCACCACCGGCGAGTTCACCCAAGAGCGGCCCACAGGTCCACACAGCCTCGCCTCAGACATTCCTCCCACAGAGCCCCCTCACACCTCAAAACACA